CAAGACGGCCCACCCTGGACACAGAGCTCCCGATCCAACTAGCAGCATGGCAGCGTTGCTGGTATCTAGACAGGATTCCCCAGTGGACTGGGGACACAAGGGCCCAGTCACTACAGCTGAAGCATTTTCAAGCTCACACAAAGACTGGCTACCAGCACCAGCTCTAACGGCTATAGCTGGGAGCCACTGGCCTGGCCTGTCAGTTGCAGAAGTCACAATACTTTGTGCTGTCCTTGGGACAATCAAGGAGAGAAAAGACCAACAGATCACTGAGTTCCTACAGGATAAGGAAGCAGACGGCTTTCATGCCAGCAAGGAGATCCTACCAGTTAATGCAGTCAGCAGGCTGTGCAGCTGCCTTCCAGACTGGTACTCCCATTAACTTCAACAATTCCCTGTCGGAGGTGGTGCTGTCCTGTTGTTTTCATAAACTAGAAATCAAGTCCCCTCTGAGATGGGGATGAGGAGGGGAGCAGGAGACCATGGCCCAAGAGCTCTGGGTGATCCTCGCTTCGGTCCTGTGGTCTGCCCCGGCTCAGAGGACTCACTGATGAGAAGAGGAGCCCCAGGGCTAAGAGCAGCCGGGCATAGGTGTCCTGGGCATGATCTCCTCAGGGAGGTGGACTCCCAGGGCACATTCCAGCTGCCATGACAGGACAGGGTGCGTGCCACCTCAGGGCCCAGGCAGGGCTCCTACACCCCCCTCTCTGCCCACTCTGGTCAGAGGATGCCCCTCTTTAATCTGCAGCCTGCGGTCAAATTTTGGACATCATTCTCACACTGGCACAGAACCCAGCAGCTGCATCCATCAGCCTATCCCCCTTTGCTACTGACCCCAACCGGGGATCCAGATAGGGCTGGGCCTGTTCCCCCTCCCCTAATCCCCTTAGGACAGGCTGGCCAGATAAGGGACTCTGAGGAATGACCCATAAAAGTGTAGATAAGCCCTGCCCTCGTGATGCTCGAGAACAGGCAGGGAAGCTGGGCCTGGTCTGGCAGCTGACCGGTCTGGCATCCTCACAGGCCGAGGACTGCCTAGAGGCCTCCCTCCTTCCACCATCTCAGAAACAAGGCACGGAGCGTCTGGGGGCTGGACCCCTGCTTCTCTGCCTCCCTGGAGCACTGTGCTTCAAGGGGTGGCGGGCAGGGGAGGCTGGTAACGCACTAGCACGAGAGGCGTGACCCACACCCACACTTGTTACCAGCTAGCACAGCACTGGGCAGGAGTCAGAGCATCTGGGAGGGCACAGTTCTCAGACACAGACAAGGGGAAGCAAGTGCAAGGTAGGTAAGCGGGCTTGTGCACATGTGCACACACACACACTGAGCACCTAGGAAAGCGGTGTTCAACAGCAGTGTGCACAAACAGGCCCAGACCTGGCTTCTGAGTCACTCTTTCATGCAGAGAAGCCAGGATTCCTCGAGAAACAGCAGGTGGAACAGAAATTTCAGGGAATACGCTAGATGACTGGCACATGCTGTTGTCTGCGAGAAGCAAGAGGCCCTCAAACGTGCGGGGTCAAGTCAAATGGACTGCAGCCAGTTTGGAAGTTCTACTGGCCCAATCACGGACAAGGAAACATAACAGTGAAAAACCTCAAGTGACACATGACTCTTAAGGAAAACAGAAAACGATTAGCCCATGCTGGTACATACATGCCTCAAGAAGCAGGTGAGAGGCGGCAGGCACCAACCTCACAGAGGCCTCCACACACAGCTGCCACTCTCTTCAGGAGATGGGGATGAGCCCCATCAGGAAACAGGCAAAGCAAAGCCGAGGCACCCGATGGAGGCGAGAAGGAGGCAACACAGCCATAGACAGTGACGCCCAAAGAGGGATGATGTCCACGGCCAGGTTCTCTCCGGACAGTGCAGTACCACCCCCCTTCACTTCCAAGGTCAGGGGCACCAGTCCTGAGCAGTCAGGGCCCATATCCAAACCTCAGGATCCCCGAAGACATCCGTCTTCTGTGCTGTCAACCCTGCAGAGCTGCCATCCTCTCTGAACAAAACCAGGACAGTCCCCATGGGCTCAGGCTTCTGAGCTAACAACTTCCACCAAAATCCAAGGGAGCCCTCCCAGCTCCTCTATGTCTCAGTGGGAGAGCATCCACATGCAGGGCAACCCCTACATTGACAACTCTTCAACAATTGCCACAAGAAGTCCTCCTTTCGTGTCAGCAACCCCTTAAGCAAAAGAGACACCCATCTGGTGCTAAATTCTCTTTAAGACAGAGACTGGTGGGCAAAGGGTGTGCAGATGCTTCTTTGGGACATGAGTTCGCCTGCCTTCCAGTCTGTGTGGCTTACACTACTTCTGAATTCATATTTCTTCTTGCTCATTGCTTCTCTCTGGGCCCTTTCCTCTTCTGCTGTGTTTTTGTGGGTTTTCCATTTGTTATTTTAATTGTAGAGACCAACTCTAAAGCTTCATAATGAAGGCTGGATTCTGTGCGTCCCATGCTGAGCCCTCAATAAAGTAGAGGTTTGTGCCCATCATGCCCATCTGTCCCATTGGGATGGATAGATGCATCCGCCCCTGTGGTCATGGCAAGACAAGCCTGCAAATCCCAGCACAAACACTGCTGCTCAACACTTATCAAAATTCACCTGAGCATGACTGCATTCATGTATTTCAAATGACCCCCAAGAACAACTCCAAGCCCTAGAGTAGGGGCAAGAGTTCCCCATCCGTGTCTGCTTTGCACTACTTTCCACTGTGGCTGCAGTGTACCGGTCACCGACGCCGGGGCTTTTCCTCTCCATAGCACCGTCCTGTTCTCTAGGCCCCTGACTGCCCCACCCTACCCTGAATCCTGAACCTGACCTGGCCAGAGTAAAACTTGCTCTCTTCTCAGCCTGCCCCAAAGATTAGTGGGAACACTGCGGGTCTGAGTCTCACTCTCTTCCAGCCTAACAGGCTGGCATGGTGTCAAGACTCCGTCACCAGCTTTATTAAGTGATCACTGGTCCTTGGCTCATCAGGACCTCACCAGGTAAGCTTGCCAAACAATCCTCTCACATTGCCTATCTCTCTGTTTGCCTTTCTTTCTAGACCTTTTGTGAGCAAAAGAAGCACGAAGGAGGGGAGAGAATAACTCCGGTGTTTTCTCTTCACTTTGAGCCAAGCTTGGGAGCTGCCCAAGGTGGGACCTACATACTGGGTTAAACGCATAAGGACAGGAGCTTCTGATCTGCCAGTTACAACCTCGAAGGTCACTGCTGCTGTAAACTGTAAAATGATCAAAAGAACAATCTCAGAAGAGAGAACCACCATGATCCCCCACCCAGAGGTAATGGAAAACGCACATTTCCCTGTGGGGGTGTCACAGTCCTTGTAGAGAATCCGGGGAGGAACGTGTGACTGTGAGATGGGAGCCCCAGAGGCTCAACGAGGATCCAGCAGAACAGGAGGGAGGCAGGTGTTCTGTGGAAGGAAACTAGGAAAGACGAGGTGTTCTGGCAGAAGAAAAGAGGAAGGCAGAGACCAAGGTGGCAGGCAGGGCCCATGGCGCCCGGTAGCAGCTGGGCTCTGTTCTGGGGCAGGGCTGTGTGACACACAGTCCTCCCTGGCCTGCACAGCATCCCTGCTCCCCACACGTGGTATAGAGGCATGAGGTGACTGCAGGCAGAGCTACAGTGACATGAAATGAGAAGACATTCGGCTGGCCATGGCTGAGCCAAAACAGGTCCTAGGGCTGTGAGGCCCAGAGCCTGGACGGGGAGGGCCGAGCACACATAGAAGCTCCCACAGTCTAGCCCACCACAAGAGGAGCCTTCAGCTGAATGTGATGAATGTGTGTGCAACTTTCCCCATGTTCTCGCTCACCCATCACCATTATCTGTCCTGTTACCTGGCATGCCTGCCAGTTCCCTGACACCACAGACCTGCTGTGTCCAGGATCCTGTCACAGTAAATAACCTAAAGCATCTCTGGGCACACATTTTCCCCCTGATAACTAGAAGTGAAATTTGGGTGTCAAGGTCCTGGTGTTTTTAAAGTTCTTGAACAAAATGCACTATCACACTGTCAACATGGTACATACCAATTCACTTTTTGAAATACTGAGTACAGGGCCGGGGATTTAGCTCAGTGGTTCGGTGGCCTGCCTTGAAAGCCCAAGGACCCGAGTTCAATCCCCGGTAACAACAACAACAACAAAAAATCTCCACTTGAAATACTGAGTACCTACGCTTTAAAAACATGTTATTAATCTGGTGTTTAAAAGTATCTCACTGATTTCTGTCTGACTAAAAATTAAAATGTCTGAATTTAATTTGTCCAACTCACATCTGTGGATGTTCACCTGTTGCCTGCGCGTCCTCACCTGAGTCTCCACTCCACTTTCTACCCACGAATCTACTCTATTCTCATTGTGTTTTCTGCATGAGCTATTTCCACTTATGGTTATTAACAAGGTGACGAGTATGTCTCTCTGTCATCGGGCAGCATGGGACAGTCCCGTCAGGTGGGACAAGCTGTGCAGGTACCACTGGTGGTTCAAACTGCAGGAACGCAGTCATCTCTTAGGTATCATATTTGCCTTTACGATGCCAGATTAACTTAATTTTGTTAATACTGTTCACTGTGGTACAATTTTCTATTTTTACATAACCTTAATGTTAATTATTAACTCATTAGGTACAACATCAATTAGGTAATGGTAACAATTCACCAACCTTAACTGCTTTTTTTTTCCAGTATTGAGTTCTAAACCCCGAGACTTTGCACCAAGCAACGGTTCCAGCTCTGTTTTGAAATTCTGAGACAGAGTATCCCTAAATCACTAAGTTGCCTGGGCTGGGCTTGAACGGAGGATTTTTCTGCCTCAGCCTCTGAGAGAGCTGGGATTATAGGTACATATGACCATGTCCAACTACAACCTCAACTTTTAAGCCTAATCATAATATATTAGAAAATGACTAGACAAAATGATTTTACTATCATTACTCAACCAAAATACATAAATCCATTATAAACAAAACAAAGAGAAACTTACCGAATCTAAAAAGCAAAGGTAAGTCCCTGAGCTCTGTGCGACTGCTTGATTTTTAGAATATCCAACTGTTGGAAAAAAAAAGTTCTTTCATAATTCAATTTTCAAAGGCATGAAATTTCACATATTTTATACTCCAAGAAAGATAACCACATTCTGCGCTACCACGGGGACAAGGAACAAAGCTGAAAGCACCACAGGGAGGAGTCAGGGAAGTCCGTGATGACACAGGACCCATGCCCGGCCTGGGTCACGCACAGACCTCACCTGCAGGAGACCTGGGGAAACACCTCTGTCCAGGTAAGGTGCAGCCACCACCAGCATCCATGCATCTGGGCATAAACTCAGCACTGGTCACTGCTCTGCAACTGCTCTGTCCCTGAGAGCGTGCTCATCCTCAGGACCCAGAGCTGGGAGTGGCATGAACACAGATGGGCACACAAGGTACGTGATGGTGAGCACAAACTGCCTGCCTCTGCACACATGGGTGGCAGTCACTGCTGAGCACAGGTGCCAGAGGCAGAGAGGACAGAGCGTGGAGTGCAGAGCAGCCAGGGCTCTTCTGTGTCTCAAAACAGGCAAAGCTGCCCTGGTTGGGGGCACCAGGGCCTGCGGGGCTTCTGGGACAGTGATGTTATCTTTGTCCAGGTGCTGGTTTCCTGGTGTGGTCAGTCCTGATTCTGATAAATGCACTATTCTAAGGGATATCATGTTGTAATAAAAATACTTTAAAATCTTGGCTTTCAAAGACACTACAGCTGAGTTGGAGAGGGTTAAACAATGACCCAGGGCTATCTGCCAAATGAAGGGAGCTGAAAAAGTGCAAAGGAGATGTAAAAGACCAAAAGCATGCGAAGGGAGTCACAGAGGGAGCCTGAGGCTGCTGGAATGTAAATGAACAGGAATCTGAGAGTGCAGGACTGACTACAGGGGAGACACACATGTGTCTGGGAGGCGAGGCCTGTCCCTGCCACAGGAACCGACTGCTCAGCTTCACCCATCAGCAGGGGTAGCCATGGAAGGTTTCTGACTAAGGACTCACATACAGTTTAGCATCCGCAAGCTCAGCCTGGGCACTGAGGGTGGGGGAGACCAGAACAAGAGTACCGACAGGACTTTGGGATAAGAAAGGGACCGAAGCTTTTCCCTAGGGAAGGAGGCTGCCAACACCTGAAAAGCGTTACTGCCAACACCTGAAACGAGTTATCCAGCTGGTTACAGATCTGATGCCACCAAGAGGAATCACGGAAACACAACAGATGTATGAAGAGTTGAAACAATACATCTTCTGGTATTTGAAGCTAGGGTAAGCTGAAGAAAGCTGTCATTCCCACAGGAACACAGTCAAGTGCGTGTCTCACTCAGCCCTGGCACTAACCTGCTTTGACCTGCTTCCTACTGCAAGGAGAGAGGGGAAGGGAAGGTCTCCTGGAGGATGCAAAGCAAACTCCAGCCACACGGGCAGAGGTGAGACACACACAGTCTCCAGAGCGCTCTTACACGGGGGTGGGGGGTGGGGTGTCTCACAAGACTGCAGCTTCATCTCTAGCAGGAATCCCTCAAGCTCAGCCAGCCCACACCAGTAAGCAGAATGACCGCAGATTTTCAGAAAGTACAAATATGAACAAGAACAGAGGAGGCCAGTGCCTGGCTCCTGCCCACGGTGGACTTGCAGCCATCAGAGCAGCAGTGGCTAAATCCTCACCATGCTTGACGTACGGGGTGGGAACAGAGAAGCCAGTACCTTCTGAGAACCTCAGCCACAGAGCTCCTGTCAACACGGGAGGATGGGAAGAGACTTCCACTTTCACAATGAAATCAGCTAGAGCACTGTTCAGAAAGCTGAACAGGGAGGAGGTTTTAGGAGGGAAACCAAATCCAGGAGTTTGGTAAAGGAGGCAGGCATATCTCACTGAGAAAGCTGGATGCTTCTCAGAGTGAATCTTGAGTTTGGGAAAGACTCAGACTCTGTGTTAACATCAGTGCCCTGCAGAAAGTGAACTGTCTGTGCAGGGTTCCAGGTCGGGGCAGGCCAGGGTCTTCGTGATGGGCGCAGGCTGGCATGATCACAGTGATCAGCTCCCACAGATGTTAACCCTGCTCATCCTGGAGAGCAGAGGTAGGTCGTGCTTCATTTTGATTTTAGCAAGTGGCCACATATGAAAGTGTTGCTCTAGCATGATATGAAATCATGACAAATGAATCTGAACCCTACCTAAATAACTGGCACTCCTAAAAACAAGTACTTTGGGGCTGTTATCTAATGGCTAATGTGACTTTTCCTATTTGTAAAAACACACTGTGGAAAGTCTGTCCTTCCAGATGGATTCAGGCGGAGTGCACCATATCAGCATGTAGCACAAGGTTCCCCCAACACTGCTCACCCCTTCCTTCCCACGGGCAGTGGGGACTGCAGCACACCCCTCCATCGCCCAGTGTCACAGCAGTCTCTGTCGCTGACCGACCATGCCTCACGCGGGGCAGCGTATGGGACAGCCAATCTAGAAGAAGCACTTTCAAAGACAAAACTCGTTCTTAAAACAGAGATAAGGCAAGAATCGCCACAAGTGTCCCAATTGTTTCTATTCAGCAAAACCTCAGAGTATGAAAGGATGTTCAGACTGGTTTCAAAAAACAGCTTTTAGTGCCAGGGATTTAGCTCAGTGGTGCCACCGCCTACCTTGCAAGCACAAGGTCCAGAGTTCAATCCCTGGTACAAAAACAACAACAATAACAAAAAACAGTTTTACACCCATTTTGGAAGCAAGTTGAAATAGACATTGTACAGCAAGTGAATCATAAAAAGTCATCGATGTATTTCAAACAAAGAAAATGAAGACAAGAAATAATTTGGTAGTGCTGAGCATGGTGGCACACACCTGTAATCCCAGAACTCTGGTGGCTGAGGAAGGAGGATCACTGCAAATTTAAGGTCACCCTGTACTGTACAGCGAGTTTAAAGCCAGCCTGAACTACACAGAAAGACCCTGTCTCAAAAGTTTTTTTGTGGGGTACTGGGAATCAAACTCAGTGCCTCACACTTGCCAAGCAGGCACTGTGCTGCTGAGTTGTATCCTCGGCCCCCTATTTTTTTTTAAAAACAACAACAAAAAACATCTTCCAGATGTATGGGATGACGAAGATAACAAATGGAACACTGCTAGCACTTCATGAGAGCTGACAAGGCCTGTCCTAAACACCCTCGTGACCACCAGCACGGGCCCCGTTATCACACTTGTCTGCACGCAAGGACACAAGCAAGAGAAGAGGCCATGGGCCAGCCCAGCAGCCCCGAGCCACACAGCCCCTACTCACACAGAGGGCTGCCTTCATGACACTGAGACACCGGCACAGTGGTCATTACAGTGCTGTCAAAGGGCAGGTCCTTCCACGTGAAGACAGTAGACACTTTCTTCTTCTTTTAAAAGATTTGTTTTTTTTTCTTAAATGCTATCTACCCTCTCTGCCTCCTCAGACCTGGCCCACTCGCTCTCATGGAGAGACAGGAGTCTGCTGGATTGTGGCCACCCACCGTGCTACAGCCCACCTCCACCAATACCCACCCTCTGCTTGGCCCAAGGCAACAGGGACAAAACCAGTTAAACATGGCAGGGAGCTGCAAAAACCAACAGCTTTCAGGGGCTCTTAGGTTGGAGGGATGTATATTTTAAACTTTCACAAAGGAGCAAAACAGTTCCATAATAGCTGAAGTTCAGAAACGGTCACACATCCCTGAGGAAGGAAGCTGTCATCTGCACAGACAGGTGTGTGGACACCTGCCCTGGAAATGGGAGGAGGCAGCACACACATCAAGGATGCCCAAGACCAGCCGCCTCTCCGTGTAGCCACAAGTTCATAACATAGGCAGGAAACAGCACAGAGAAGGAATAGGGCAGCCTTGAGGGCAGTAGGTCTAGGAACATCAGAGCTTGTCTCCCCCTCACTCTTCTCTGTGAAACTCCTGCTGACTCTCCACACATTCAGTCCTACAGGACAACTTCAGGGTCATGCCTTGGCTCTGAGCAGATTCTAGAAGCAGACCTTCCACTCCCAGGCACTCAAAAGGGGGTGCTCCAGAGACCACCAGTACTCCACGCACAGACTGCCTGCCCTTCAGTTACACAGGAACTGCACAACTCCCTGGAATGTGTGACAGTTTACTGTTATGTCAACTTGAGCAAGAAATGCCCAACTAAATTGGATCAGCACAGTTCTGGGAGTGGGTAAGGGGATTTATTGGGATTTACTGGGTGTGAGTAACAGCAGCCAATGGGCTTGCCACCCAAGTGGTATAAAAGGGAAACGAGGAGGAAGGCTGCTTTCCTTTCTTTGGGGGAGCTCCAGTCTTCACCTTCACTTGGGATACCACCTCTTGGCTTCTATTGCAAACCCTTCAGCCTCCTGATACGGACTTGCACAGGACACTGCAGCGAGCTCCAGGCCTGGATCCTTCTGATCTCCAGCATGCAGACAGCTCTTTTGCACTTTTCAAAACCTGGCTCTGTGGGCAGCCACTATAAGCCAATCTAAATTCTTATATATTTGTGCATCTTGCATTAAATCTGTTTCTCCAACAAGCACTAAGTGATATAAATCACACGTGCTACAAGTGTTGGATAGGATTCCTGAGACTTTCTTAAAGAGTGGCTCTCAATGAGAGATGTGCCTCAGAATCTCCTGGGATGCTTCTAAAACTCCAAGCCTGAGCTGTACACAGCTGGCTACCAGGGAACCTCACAGTGGAGGGCAGGCATCGGGCTTGTTAAGGCTACCCAGATGATTCCAACATGTAACCAAAACTGAGGACACTTACTTCACAGACAGACGCGGCTCCTGTCCCCAGAGCTGTACACTGCTTACCTGCTAACCTCCACCTTTTCAACCCCAGGCAGCATACAAGGCCCATTTTGGGGGGGCGGGGTACTGGGGATGAACCTGCTTGTGAGGCAGGTGGCAGCACCACTGGGCTAAATCCCCAGCCCATACAAAACCCATTTTTTCAACTCTTATGAAAACTTTTGGGACTCTGACCTGTTCCAATTAAGCGAATACAAGATTAATCAATATA